AATGTTTGAAGATACAGTGCCCGTGTATGTCTTTCCCATAGCAAAGCCTAGTATTCATTTGTGCACCAGATGTGGTGATTGTAGATATTACCTTAAGAAACAATGGCACTAAATAGCCCAAATGAAAATTAATGCGCTGAATCATGCATCCTGTTAGATTTTTGAGGTAAGAAGAAAGGGTTGAGAGAGGACTTGGAGGAGAAGGAGAGGCACCCGGAGTTTACTCATTTGGTGAGATGAAAACTCAATTCTTCCATTGATGTTCTGTTATTTATAGCAGAAACAATTACAACATACAATGGTATTTCTCTCACCTAATATATTTACCTAATAAAAGAAAATCTACCAAGCATTTAAATTTTAAAGCAAGATTACTTTGAAAAGATTTGCTGCCATTTTGTGCTGCTCCATGTTGCTGTCACTTTTCTGCCACTGTTTTGCAGCTTTGACACCACAACCCCAATACATCCTTTAATGATTAAGCATTAAACTAAAGAATGGTTTTTACATTTTACTACATACAACATGTCAAAAATAATGACTTTAGAGCTTACTATCAGCTTTTCCTCTTGAATTTTCTCTGAGCTTTTAGATCAACCACAATAACACTGATATTGTCTTTGCTTCCTTTACTTAGAGCAACCCTTGAGAGGTACTCAGCTGCAGCTTGAGCAGCAGGATCAGCTCCCTCACCCCTTCCTGCGGACAATGTTTCACCATGCTTTTTGTGCCAAAGAAGGATTCTCTTCCGAGCAATGTCGCAGACCTCATCGTTAGACATGACATCCCATAACCCATCACTGGCTAAGATAAAGCACTCGTCGTCTTTTGCTCGAGGAACAAACATGATTTCTGGATCCGGAATAATACATGGTTTTAGGTATCTGTCACCTGAAGATCATGAAGGGAATGAGATTATGAAATATAACTTCAAAAAATAGGATAGAATAAAGGAACATAGCTTTATCAATACAATGTTCGAAAGTTAGGCACTGAACCATACTAATGTAAACACCAGACTGTAATTCTGTAAGACATGCTGAAAGACAATTAGAACACACACCTATGGACCTTGACATAGCCAGTACACCAGAAACACGGTAACCATTCCATTGAATGACCTTGCCTCCTGCAGCTTCTATCCTTGCATGTTCATCTTCTCTCTCTGGCTGCAAAAGTGGCAACATGAACAACATCCGTTACATTGTGAATATGCTGGCTTCAATTGGCACTTTTTGAGTGCAGATGGAAAAGAATGCAAAACTACGACGACATGCCTTACTTTGTGGTCTACAGATAATGGCACAGCCACTTTCCCGCGACGTAGAACTGCCCTCGAATCACCACAGTTTGAAACAATAATATGGGTTGGACAAAGAATGGCAACCAGGGCGGTTGAACCAACAGTTTCAGGGGCTACAGGTTTAAGATCCATCTTGTTTCCTCCAATCTCAAAATCAACTTTCAGAAAACAATTGATGAAGGCTTTCTTCCATTTATCCTGCCAATTTTGCTCCATATTACCACCAGACAGACCTGATTTTGCAATTTCTATCTCCTCTTCCAAAGCAAAATGCAATCTCTCTTGGCAATAGTTTGCAACCTATTGGACAAAATCACTCTTCAGTGAAATAAACCAAGTATATGATATATGATGAACCAGATGAACGGTAAGAAACCTTTTCCAAATATGTATACTGATAGCAAAATAGAAAGTTTAGAAACAAATTGAAGAAGATAATTGAAAAAGTGGGATGAAGTATACCTGGCAACCGCCATGTCCATCATAGACACCATAGAAATGAGCAGTTAAGTAGCTTATATCACAATTCGCGCCATTTGAAAGGATGTCATCCCTCAGCATTTGAAGAGGAACTTCCAGAAATCGTGGTATAGCTTTAACAGCATCTTCCATCTCCGGTCTCCTTCCACAAATGGATGTATATCCCCAAAGGGGAGTGTTATTTAATTCAAGAAGAATCTGGCTTGCAGTTCTTCTTAACTCCTTTTGCTGTGCCCCCTCAAGAATCGAATTGCATGAAATTTTATCAGACACGTTAGATCCATTTCCATCCTCCCCCACAAGGTGCTTTGGCACTAGATTGACATCTTGGACATCACCAGAACTTTTTCCCCTATCAAGTGCAATTGCATTAATCTCAAGGTTAGCCTCAAAAGCTGATAATTCCTCTGCACAGATGCTGCTGATATCACTAGCTACAGATTGGGAACGTAAAATATGTTGATCACCATTGGATAACAAGCATCCACCTTCATCACTTCCCTGACCCTCATTTTCAATCAGATTCGACAAAATGACTTTGTTTTCTCCTCTTATATCTTCATATTCAGATGCTGATACTATACTTTTCCTGAGCTGATTTGGCTTGGTTTCAGGACTTGATAGCAAGCTTGCCTTGTCTGTAACAAGATTAAGCCCAGAAATATCCATGTGGGATGCCATTATTGAGTCATTACAGATCACTTCACCTAGCCTAATTGGACCAGCAACTGCTGTTGATATATCCTCCACGGTTCCCTTTCCCTTCCCCTGCAGCAAATACTTTAAATTTCAAAGTCCTAGAAAATTATACAAAAACCAAACTACTAGTCTTCAACTAATCTTAATATACAGTCATCTCGACATCAGAGCAATAACTTCTCTATATTTCAAGAGAAAGAATCCCCTAGTGACCTATTCACAAAAATAGCAGGGGATAAGAAGCAACAACAAACAAAAGGGGCAATGAAAGCAATTAAGGGTGAAGTAAATAGATTCAAGATCCTACTTTGAGGCAATAATTGAGTTGAGTCTAGTGAAATTAAAAGCATGAAATTGGATAGCTAGTCTTTCATCCCCTTCATATGTGGACTCCTCTTTATCTAAATACTAAATGAAGCAGAGATAAGGAAGAAATCCTGTCATCTCTGATCCCTTGGGACAAGAAATATATGAACCAAATTCTATGAATGTTCATGTCCCTAACAAACTATCTGAATAAGGAAAATTAATGAAAGCAAATTGGGTCATGATAAAGCAGTCAGAAACAAGATAGAAAGGCCCAGAAAAACACTACCAAATCCGGTTCCCTGGATATAGGGTAACTGATGTCACTTGTCAGCCTCATGCAACTTGGTGTTCCTCTCTCTCTTCCATTACTTCCCAAGTTTCAATTCTCAACTAACTAATTAAGGTAAAACTAAAAAGGCAATCTGTCACCAACAAAATCTATTTGCGTCCAGCTCCAGAAATCTGTGTCTAGAACTATGTCAAAGAAACAGTCCTACAGAGCATACAATCTTCTTTCTCAAATCAAAACACAAATGGGAGAAGGCTCAATAATACACCTGACTGACTTGCTTGCCATGTTGAAACAACTGCACATTGAACTGTAAAAAAGCTTGAAGGAAAACACAAACCCAGAAGCACACGTGTCCATAGAAAAAGAATTAACAAAACCCAAGAATCAACCGTGAGCAAACCATAAAGTAAAAATAACATTAAAAAAATTATTATGTTTTTTTTGGTGGAAAAAAAAAATTATTATGTTAATAAAATTATATTAATTTATAAAATTGATATGATTAGATAATAAATAAGTTTTTATTTGTTTTGAATAATATTATAATTACTTCTACAATAATAAAGGAAAAATGACAAGGAGACTCAAACATTTAATTCAGATAATGTTTCTACAAAAACCCATTATAACCATTAGACCTAAAAATAGGAACAAACAAGTTCTTATTTTAGTAAGCCTCTCATTTTATGTAATTATTTTTATTTTATCATTTAATATAATTACACTATAAAATAAGAAAAAATATATATTATCTACTTGAGCCATTTGAATAAGGAAGAAGATTGAGTAGTGCAATTGGCTTTCATTTCTTTAATTAAGATTTTTAATGTAAAAATATCTAAAAGCAGAGGAGTACAAGGTGAGAGAAGGA